TTACTTTCCTAGTGTCACTCTCTCTCTGTATGCTCACAATCGCCAAACATATATTTTAATTCCAGAACTCCATTTTGAAATACATGCCCATATATTCAACTATCAACTGTACATTATCTCCCAAGTACTTCAGAATTCAACGTGTCCAAAATGGCACTGATCACTTTCTCCAAACATGCTTCTGTTCTTGTGTTTTCTATCTGAGTGGAAGATATCCCTACTTACCCTGGCCTGGGCCAGGAACCTAGGTACTATATTTCCATTTCTCTCACTCTCTCAACTACCTGTTGCCTTATGTCTTGAGTACGTTTCCTCAAGATAGACAGTGGGTAGACAATGCCACTATGCTAATTCAAGCTCTCATGATCTCTTGCCTGGATTAACTCCAACAGTCATCTTAACTTCTTGAACTACAAACCCAGTGAAATCACTCCCTTGTTTAAAACACTTTGTGACCCCTTGGTATTCTTAGAATAATGTCTTTGACCAGGTTAGTAGGACCTGCATGATCTGACTTGTTTTCTTTTTTTTAAATTTTTATTGTGGTGAAAATATACACAACAAAGCATTTGCCAATTCAACAATTTGTATGATGATTCAGTGACATTGATAGCATTCTTCATGTTGTGCAATCATTTTCACTATCTCTTTCAAATTATTCCACCACCATTTTGTTTACATTTTAATTTTCACTTGGAGAATTCTTTTAAGGATTAACGAGAATATATGTCGATACATAATACACTGTAGGTACTAAATAAAGAAAGACTCTTCCATCCCTAATTGGACCCCATTTTTATAGATAAGGAAAATGAGACTCACTGAGCATAAATGCATGCTCTAATTTAGATAGCTAGCTGGTGACAGAGCTGGGATTTTCAGACCAATGGCAGTCAAATTCAGGAAAAAACTGACTAAAATTTGTCTTGGCCTTCTTGGACTTCTCAGTCCTGAGGGAAGGAAGGTCATACTCACAGATAGAGATGATTTTGCTTTATCTAGCTGCATCCAAAAGCAGTAACTTGTTTACTTGTGCTGACCAAATGTTTGGTATCTGCTTTACTGGCTTATTATGTGCTAATTCTTTCCCTTCTTCGTAATAACGCAATGACGGGCCAAACCACAGTGCACAAAGAAGATCATCTGTAGCTTTGAGAGTCACTAGATTTTAAGCCCTTCCTGCTCTCCCAGACAACCACCAGAATAGAGCCCGAGTGAGTTGACATGCTGAAGACTTGCCAGAATTTTTGCAAAAAGAAC